GGTCGAGTAAGGCGCTGGTCAGCGGCACGTTGAGGGCCAGGCAGGAGCTAAGACCTCAGACTGATACTGTCTCATTCCTCAGCAGTCAGGTGTTTTCTAGCAGTGCAGTCCTCTCTGGGTACAGGAAGGGACAGGCTTAGATGAGAGATGTGAGAGGAACCCTGTGGGGTGATGGAGGTGAGCCGGGAATTAGGAAGGGATTGTGTTAGGAGAAGCTGCTGGAGGAGAAAATGGAGGCCTGCCAGGAGGGAGAGGCATGAGGAACCGTGGCAGGTTTGTCATGGGCTGGGAGTATGTGGAGGCTGGGAGGCGTGTTTTTTTCACTCCTTGGAACAAAACCTTAAAGATGGTGAGTGGAGGGTCTGTGGAGGCAGAAGATGCCAATGGGACTCCAGTTTACTGAGTTGTCTCATGAAAGGTTAGTTAAAGGACAAGGCTAGGCCATTCTGCGACACTCGCCTTGCGGCAGTAGGTGCCAGCTGGCTTCATTCAGTACATTAGGAAAGTGGCAGCCACCACGCAGCTCCAGCTGCACATCGTCCTCCAAAAGCTACTAAGCTGGAGGTGACCCATGGTGGCATGTGTGGAGTTTGCTGAGGAGGTTCCTGCTGGGTCTGGTGTTTGGCAGCCCTGTGTTCAGATCCCTCCCGAGGTTTAATCTTGTAGCCACAGTCCTGTGGACTCATGTCCTCTCCTGCCTGGAGCCCCTCATTCACTGTTGGTCCATCTGACCCATTCCCTTCTGTACGCCACCTACCCAGCACACACACATACGCACACTCAGGCCCTGTCCACTCTCCCAAAGAAAACAGAAGGCGGGCCTGGGGAAGGGTAAGAGATGATAAGAGGATCACCTAAGCCCAGGTCTGCTGGCTGGAAGTCTTGTCCTCTTATCTTTCAGATTCCTCTGGTCACTGTAGAGCCATACTCATTTCCTGAGCAGGAACCTGTAAAGTGAGCAGACCTGTGTCTCTCTTAAGATCCACATCCTCCTCCTTCCTCCCTTGGGAGGGAGCAGTGTGGCATGCAGGGGAGAGCGAGGGCATGGGTCAGCTTCCCAGGTCAGTTCCCAGCCCTGCCGTTGAGTAACTGGTTTGTAACTCCCTGTACCTCAGTTTCATTATTTATCAATATGAGTACCCATCCCAGTGGTGTTGGTGTATTCAGGATTTTAAGTCTAGGACATTCAACAGTGTCCAGGTTGAGTAAGCCCTCAGTAAAAGTTAACCGTGGAATTAGAAATTGTCGTTGAGTTCCTCACGGAGTTAAGTGTCTGCCCGCGTCAAGTTTCAGGTACTGACTTTTGGAGAGCATTGCCTCCGGCGACAGAATCTGGTTTTGCTGTGCAGAATCAGGAGGGAATTCCATTGCAAACCTTGTTATCTGTAAACTAATGTTGGCTAAGTTATAAGGGCTTAATTAAACTTGCATTCAGAAAAGTCTTTTGCTATATTTTTGGTTTCATAAACTGAGTCCACAGAGTTTAAGAGTTGAGTTCTTTGGAGCTCTCTGTTGCCACCTCTTGTTTATCAGGTGGCTGCATCAGGGAGGACTGCGTTTTCTTGTGTCTCTTTCGTAATCCTTGATCTCAAGTGAGAATGCCAAGACCCATGGCCTGGTCCTCCCTGAGGCCTCTGGTTTCCTACACCAGCTTCCAACTTGCTCTCCCCATTCATTTGAGGAGTTGAGGTTCCTTGTATGTTGTTTCCTGACTGCAGCTGGTCTCTCTTGAAAATCTTCTGGGTTTATTTTTTCTGTTGAAGAACTCTTTTTTTTTTTTGTAACTTTAATAATTGAAAGTTATTTTCACATATCAGTTTCAAGCTATAAAATTGGGTGAAAATTGGAAGGTCTGTTGGGGGCTCTGATACAGTAGATCTGGATGCCTAGATGTTTACAGGTCCTCTTTTGTAACATCATACTTACATTGACATATTTACAGTTAATTCTTTATTTTGTTTCAGTAATTGTTTGGTATCACCTAAGAAAAAATGCTTGTCACCTCTTACAGGAGGGCCTGTACTGGAGCGACATTAATCAGCAGAGGCTCTGGGCTTCTTTCCATGGTGGAACTCACAATCAGACTAATACAGTTTCATCATTTTCTGCCCTCCATTGGCTGTTACTAGACTTTAGTTCAAGGAGTGATTGGCACCATCTGTGAAACATCTCAGAGTTTTGGAGTAGGCCTCCTGGGCTTTACAGCCACACTGTTAAGAGCCTGATGTTCAGGAACTGCTGTTTTTCCTCCTTTATAGTAAGGAAGACTGGGGGTAGGGTCTAGCTGTGTCATGTGGGAGATTGGTACATCTCTGGTGTATAGAACCTGTTCAGTTCCTGTTAGGATTTGAAAAGTGACATGAGATTGTTTTTGTATATATGGTAGAAGATGAAGGTTTACAAAACTCACATGTATACATTTGGGTCCAGAGGTAGGCAGGGAGAGGTGTGTTCATTTCCTTCTCCTTTCACCTTGCTGGCCTCTGGAATGATGGTTCCCTCTCAGCAGGCTCCTAAGGTACTTTCTGCTTAGGCTCTGGCCTTGGGACATGGACCTCTATGGATCTGCCCCTTGCTCCTTGTGCTGTGGGAGCAGAGGGTCACAGGATTGGTGTTGAAGGTGTACTGTCCTAACTTCCTACAGAGAGCTTGTGGATGTCTTCGCTGCACTCCTCAAATTTGTTAAGGTAATTTCTTTTAATGCCTATAATGTTGACAGCTGCCTGAGCATTCCGGGAGATCCATTTCACTCTTCATTGGAAAGCTTTTGTGGAGAATGCTGTGAGATCCGTGTTGTCAGAGACCCCGGAGCATCTCCATCCTGATGCTTATTGGGGGTTTGCTGTGGGATCTGTCCGACTGTGTCACTTCCAGGAGTGTAGTGTTTCCAGTGATGGTCACTGCACTTAGCCACAGTTCCCTGCAGGCAGTACTGGCTTCAGGGTGATGCCACTGTTTGATGGTGAGTGCGTCCATGGCATCTCTCTCTCATTTGCTAGGCGGAAGATGGTGTTAGTGATCCGAGCACCGCTGGCACCCTGCAGAGCAGGCGTGAGTGAGCGTGTCCTGCTGCCCGGTCTCGTGAGTCTGATGCCCCCCTCCATGTGTTGGCATCACTGCCCAGCACTCCCATCGAAACTCTTCACGACCATCTGTTTGTCAGATGATTATATTGTTGCAGAGTCTGTCCGGGTCCTTGTATCCTTTTTCTTGTCACCTCAGTGTGTGTCCATCGTGATAGGGACTAGGCTCTGATGATGGTGGAAGAAGATGTAGCACATGCCACAGCAAGGTTGGAGAGGTGGGGCTTAAGGGGTGAGCCACGCTCAGCCAGTGTCGCCAGCCAAGTGCTGTGTGAGCTGTGACTCAGCAGATGGTCTTGGGCCCACTCCTGTGGTGCCATGAGTGTTTCTCGACTGCGCTCGTGTTTCTCATGGTTGCTTCATGGTATGATGTGCTGCTGTACCTGCACACCTGTGTTCATGGTAGGTGCAGGCTCTCCATTGGCTTGCACAGCACCTCATACGCTGTGAGCCCTCAAAACACAACGAACCCATGAACTGGTTGGCAAGGGCAGGCAGTCTCCAGAGCGCCCTCTACTGGAAGTGAGCCGAGCAGGGCCACATGTCCGGCAAGGCCCTGGCAGTTCACGCTGGAGAGGAGTCCTTGCATGCTTGTGTAGGTCTGGGAGTTGGAGCACCCTGTCCTCATCAGACTTAAGTCGTGTGACCGCTAACAAAAAAGGGTGACACAGAGCCATCCAACCTGGCCCGTTGGACCAGTCATTATACTTCACAACCAGGACCAGAAGACACGCCTCCCTCAGGCAGCACATGTCTGTCTTTATCACCTTATGTGCCTTGTTGAGGGAGGCCCCTATATTTGCTGTTTAAGTCCCAGTTTGTATCACAGCTAGAAATTCTTTGTGTACTGAAGAGCACCTCACTGTTAGAGCCTTTGTGGTGACAATTAATTGGGAAGGTGTGTATTACCCCATACTTGGCTGACAGTGGTGGTCACAGCATTGTCCCTTGATTGGAACTTTCAGACTCCACTGGGGTAGCAAACCGCCCCCTCCCCATTGGAGAAGTGCTTTTGCAAATGTCCACTGCAGTTAGAGACCACATGGAGGCTGCCTTTGTATGTGTGGGGTGCGCCTGTGGTCAGGCCCTTTGGTCCTTTCCATAGAAGCTGCTGCCTGGTAGCTCTGGGGTGGAAATACATATGGAGGACGGGCATGAGTGACGAGGCTCCTGAGTCACTGCTCTCCATGGAAGGTCATCCTCTACCCATGTGTGGTTTGTGTCCTCTCCTTTTCTCTGGTGTCCTATGAAATACTGTCTTCACTTGGTCACTAGTTAGTGGTATTCTGCTAGGAGACTCGTGTCTAAGAAAGTCAAGGTAAGAAGGGCTGTGTGGATAGGCCTGTTCTTCCCCTACGTGGGCAGATGAGTGTATCCTCTGGTACGGAAAGACCCCAGAGCCCCTGCAGTCACTCCGAAATAAAATTAATTCCAGTAAGTTTAGGTACAAGAACAACATGTGTTGATGAAACCAAATGACTGGAAAAGTCATGATTCCTAAGCCTGGAAGTTAAACCTTTAAACTCCATGTAGTTAAGTTGTGGGCCTTTGTGTCCACAGTTGTGATTTTGATAGCTTTTATAAATATCAAAGAAGCAAGGGGTAGAGTCACAGATTTTATTTCTCTCATGAAGTGATTGTAGATGTGCTACCACATAACGGATTGATTTTGCATTAGGGTCATCATTCACTTGACACAAGTCTTCTCCTAATTAATGTGTATAGTACCAAAACGACCGGCCTTCCATGGGGTCTGACCACCTCCCTGGCCCCTGCCTTGGTCTCAAGTCAGGGTCATTATGGTGCATGGTAAATGAGCTGTTGACTAATTTCTTGTTGAAGTGAAATATAAATCTGGATGATTGAAATTTATTCTCTGGGGCATCTGGCTCATCCTTGTTTTTGTTTGTTAAACAGGAAAAGGACCAGCGCAGCCTAGACATAAACACTGCCAAGTGCATGTTGGGACTGTTATTAGGAAAAATCTGGCCCCTTTTTCCAGTTTTTCACCAATTCTTAGAGGTACCAACTTGTTTTATGAAATGTTTATTTGCTTAGAAATACCACATAACGTTATGTAACCATTGTGTGTACTTTTTTGTTGATTGTACTTTTCTACCTGTAGGACGCATGGTGACATACTTGCTGGTGGTTAGCCACTGCCTGTCTTCTCGGGGTGCATCTGTGTGTGCGTTCAGTGTGTGTGCATCATTTCACTTGACAAATGCATCCAAAATGGCCACAGCTCTGTCCTATCCTCTTTTTCGTCCCCATTCTAAAAGCTTCACTTTTGTTTAGATTTTCTGCTCTTCATAACAGTAGAAAAACAAAACTTTCTTTTGACCGTAGATAAATTTCCACTATTGTTACGCTAAGATTAAAGAATGGTCATCTGCTTTGTTACTCAAATTAGCATGTAGTCTATTCTTATCTGCTCTTGTCTCCAAGTAACTTGAGGACCTCAGACCAGTGTAAGCATCAGGCAAGTAGGCGGTATCTCCTTCCATGTAAATTGTCTTCGTATCTGCCTCAGACACATCCTGGCACCTGACTCCATCACTGTTGTCTGTTTGCTTAAGTATTTGTGATCGGAAAGGTTGAGCTGCTGGTGATGTTGATGTCCTTCTGTGGGACCTGGAAGTCGCTGGGATATAGCTGGAGTTACTTGGGTTGTCTTTATGGCATCCTCCTGCCCCAGCCCTTTTAAAAAATGCCCTCTGCTTGCCAGGCTGAGGGTGTTGGAACTCTGAGAAAATCCTGGGCCTCACCCTGACTCCAGCTTCACTCTTGAAAGAGTCTGTCTTACCCCTACGTTATGTCATGGTCCAGAACAACTTAACAACTGATATGATCCTTTGAGGACTGTTGTTAAAAATGTCTTTAAACATTTAACTGGGCCTCCTCAAGAAAATTCCAAAAACTTGTTTTCATGTCAGAAGTATTTATTTGCTTGATGGTCTATATCTGCTTAGGGTTGGTTCTAGTTTTCTGACACCCCTTGAGATAGGTTAGCACTATTTGGAAAAGCAAGTGGAAAGAGTTTCTGCCCTCAGAGAGCTTGGCAGGATCTGAAGCTGAGCGTCAGGAGTTCTGAAGTCAAGGGGCCTGCGGGAGGAGACGGGCTTGACACGGTCTAGGGTGTCAGCAGTGTTTTTTACCGTTGCTTTGAAAGGGGAGCTGTAGGCAGTGCTTTGTCCTCTCACTTCTGTTAGTTGGCATTTTTCTTTTTTAAAAAAGGCAGTAATCCTCTCATTTCAGCTTTTCTTGTGTTTGCATCCTCAAAACCATTGGCTCAACTCTCTTTGCTTTGTATGTACTCGTATTGTTTTACTATGTTCCTGATTTTAGTGGCGAGGGTTTAAAAACTATTGGTTCTGGACTTTAGTTTTAAATCTTTATACAAGGATACTGTATTTTAAAGCATATGCATAGCATATTTCTTGTCTGAGGGGAGTAGAAAAACAGCTTCATGGCTCCTGGTTTCTTCTTGTAGGACCAGGTTCAAGTTGTGTATATTCTTAGAATAGTGATTTCCTTGGAGGCAGAGAGCACCTTGTGAGCGCTCGCAGCGCGGTCCCAGCTTGGAGTGCCTGTCCCAGAGTGCCCATCCCGGGGCTGGGACAGCAGCTCAGAGGATGGTGCTGGACACGTCGAGCCTGGCACAGGGCTGCACTTCCTTTAGCACTTATTTCGTGTGGCGCGCTGAACAAGATGCTTCATGTAAATTGCTTAAATTATCTCTCTTAATCCTGACAACATCTCTATGAAGTAGGTGTGATCCCGTTATATGTGAGGGCTTTTGCAGACTAGAAAGTTCCCTTCTGGGGGCGTAAGGTCGCTGCACTTGCCATTCTTTGGTGAGCTCGTGATGTTTTGCCATGAAAGTCGTCATCTGAAATGCCACCCTCGCTCTCCCACCACCCCCTGGATTGGTGCTTAACACTCAGATGGGAAGAGTTACTCTTCCGTGAGTTCTATTAAATTGAGTCCCACAGCAGTTGAAACCATCCTATTTGCTCAGTGCAAGTGTCAGTAATTCATATTACTTTCCCTCCATCAGCAATCAAAATATAAAGTGATTAATAAAGACCAGTGGTGCAATGTCCTAGAGTTTAGCAGAACCATTAACCTTGACCTCAGCAACTATGATGAAGACGGCGCATGTGAGTATTGGCTTCCCCTGCCCTGAGCCCTGGACATGGCCCTCACTGAGAGGAAAGTCAGAGCACATTGTCTTTTCTTTCTCTGCAGGGCCGGTTTTGCTGGACGAGTTTGTGGAGTGGTACAAAGACAAACAGATGTCCTAGGACTTTCCGCACAGAGACGAAAGAGTCCCTGTTACCACAGTTCTGTCACCCATTAGCCATAAATTGCTGTCTGTATCAAGCGCATGCTGCTTTCTCGCACTGTCTCCCTGGGCAGGGACGTTTGGTGTTTGCTGTGCGTGGCCGGCTCTGCTTGCTGTGGCCTTGTTCTTGCGGAAGGCTGCTTTGCGGTTTGTATTCACACTACAGATTGGTGAACTGCCAGCGTCCTCACTGTGATGATGTGTATATTGCTGTTTAAATTTTGTATATGTGTATAAAAAGAAAAGCTTCACCTAGAGATTATTTCTGCAAAATTGTATTGTAAAAATAATTTTGTGGCATATTTCTAGTCCCTTTTTTCAAATGAATTAGTTATACTTTATTTGATCTCATATGTAGCATTTCAGAAAACAAGATGAAATAACTGTTACCATGAGCCAACGTTGCCAGAATTCACCTTACTGTTGAAGAGGCCAACTTTTGGAAGGAGGAAGGTGTCATGACTTTTCAGAGGTGTATGCCAAATATCAATTGGTTCACTTAACAATATTGCCATTTTAATATGATAGAAGTTATTATTTGAACATACAGACATATAACATGCCACAAATCATTTCCGCCAAATAAGGGGATAGCTTGGACATAGGTACAAATGGACACATTCACACTGCACCTATTTTTTAAAAATCGGGTTTAATTTGTGTAATTATCTGTAATGGTTTTCTTTTTCTTGTTCCCCTTTGCACTCTTCCAGCCAGTGTTGGTCTGCTGATGCTTCCTGTGCCACTCTGAGTAAAATGTATTTTACAAAACTCCTCCATGAAAGCCTCATGGTTTGGTGGCAATTTCTAACTGCAAGACACTTTGTGGCTTGAATTTTTCATGGCGTCTGACTTTCTAGTTTTTTGGGGAAAGAACCTCACAGTCAGTAAGAGTGTTCAGTTCTGTTGTCCTTGTTTGTTTCTTTCATGCTAAGCCTTCCTGGCAGTGTGTCCATTGCAGGCAGTGGGCATGACAGCACAGCACTGCATTTTGCTGGCCAGGCCGTGCTGGGGCTCTCTCCTGGAGGGGCTGCCATCATTCCCAAGTCAGTGTACAGAGGGCAGCAGCCAGTACGTATGTGGACGAGGAAACTGTAGTGAGCAAGATGGTGTGTGTAGGTTTGTATTTTTATGTCTTCTTTGTGGTTTTTGTTTGTTTTTGCCTTACCCTTCCTGAGGAAATGTGGAGATGACATGTTTTCACCCCAACTCTCTGGTGCTATGAATGACTCACTCAGTCCCTAAAGTTATGAGAAGACACGCGAGTCTAGCGCTTTGACCCAAAGTGAGCGTGAATGGTACGTGTGAACAAGCGAATGCTGTCGACAGCAGATCTGTAGTTGAGCATGTGGGAACTGGAAGAGGCTTGGGTTATTTGGAAACCTCGCCAAAAATTCTTTTTGATGACATGTAAACCTTTAAATGGCATTAAATGAGTAAAGCACACAGACAATGCTATTCTTGACATATTTCTAGTGGCATATTTTTGCAGTTTCTTTGCAGTGTTCAGACTTTCTGATTATTTTTTTCCCTAACTAAACCACCAAAGATAGAAATTTTGTATGTATTTACAATGTGTGCATATAATATACAAAATCATGGTGTGCTAGAATGCAACTGCTTTCTTTTCCTACCAAATAGAAGGGTTATGTTTGCTGTGAAATAAACCAGAAGTTTAAAAAAAAACTCTGTAGTGATTAAGCATACTTAACCATTCCTTGTTAGTGGACTCACTTTTAACCTTACAGATTAATACCAGTTTGCTTAAATTAATATCTGAAAAGAATAGAAGATGCTAATGACTGACAACAGCTGTCAGGACTGATGTGCAGGGCGTGGGGGCTGCATGGAGCCTGACCAGAGGCAGGGTCAGATCTGTAGAGAATGGATTTCATCTCAGAAGCACGCCCTAAAGTTAAGAAATTACACTTTACACTTCAAAAGCAACAGTTCTTAAATTTGGTTAACTATAGTTTTGTTTAAAGCAAATATATATAATAGATGAAATTATTTTAAATGTTATGTTTGAGACTGGAGAATTTGTAGATGCTGCGCACAGTTAATTCGGAAATGAAAGGATTGTTTCAAAAAGGAGGTGTTACATTCAATTTCATGATGTGTGCTGTGAAAATCAGTATTCCAGAGGGATAATCCTGCATATTCAGAAAAATTTGAATCTGTAAATTGCCTCGGAAGAAACCTCTATGATTGCTGGGGAGCAGAGTGCTTGCCCTTGGTTTTCTTGATTTTGTATAGTTATTTTTAAGGGGACTAAAAGGAGCCAGGCAGAGTATACGATAGGCTTTCTTAAAATTTTCCCTAAGCTACACAAAATTGACCCATCACTGAGCACTTGCCTGGCTGGTGCTACACAGGCAACAGTGCCTATCTGGTTTTTCTTTACCCGAGTCTACACTGTTTCTCTCGCTCCACTGTCTGAACTCCACACTGCAGTGCCCTGTCGTGGTGGAGTGCAACTTATAGACGCTCACTGCCACGGCAGATCAGAAATGCCCTTATTTAGTTTGCCACAAACTCCACTGTGACGTTACATGCACCATTTTTGGAGCTGAGGCTCTGAATTATGTTTTCATCAATTTGCCTAGACACACCTCCAGGGTCTGGTTTAACAGATTTCCTTTGCTTCTCAGTCTCCATTGTCACAGTGCTTTTGAAGTTTATACGGAAAGCTTTAAAAGTCAGTGTGTGCCCTTGGTTTTTATTATTACAACTGCTAAAATACCTCTCTGTAAGCCTTACCCTTTATTCTTTCATATGTTGTATAATAAATATATAGAATTCAATGACCAACAAACATGTTGGGTGTCTGTAAATGAGACCACAACATGGGTTGCTTGTCTCATAACTGACTCTTGGGGTTGCGGCTGTTGCGTGAGCCACAGCCCGCCCGACTGTGAATGCTTCGTGTCGCCAGTGTTGCGTTCCATTCATCAGTGGCAAGTCCTGTGACTCCCAGCTCACCGAAACTCTCTTCCGCCACCTCACTTGAGTCCAGCAAACTGGTTTTAGATTTTAATGAATTGATGTAAAATGACATCCCATAATAAAATATTTGTGTTGGTTTCAGAACTGATTTTTAAATTCTTCAAAAACCATTTAGTGTGCTCTTTAAAGTATTTGAGTTTTTATCCTGTTTTGTTTCATTCCTAGATTTTTGTATTGAAAATTTACAAAGCTACAGAAAGCGAGAATAATACAGTGAACACTCTTACACCTGTCGCTTTGAATTTCCAGGTGTTATCACGTTATCGCATCTCCTGCCCCACTCTGGGTGTGTACATCCTTCTCACCTGCTGTCGATTGATTAGCTTATCTGAGAGTAAGTTTGATAGTAAGTTATGGCAGTAAACACCTGGCATTTCAGGAGGACATTCTCCTACAGCAGCGATACAGTGATTACCCTCAGGGAGTTTAACAATGATCCACTATTATCTGATATCCTATCCAGGTTCACATCTCTTCAGTTATACCAATATTGGCCTTGATAATTTGACACTTTATTTTTAATCCAAGGATGAGCATTGCATTTCGTTGTCATGCCTCTTTTATCTCAGTCTGGAGCACTTCCAGACACAGTATTTCAAAAGTTATGAATAAAGATAGTGCAAACACTCCACAACCAAATTGTGATTTTAAAAGTGTGCTGCCATCCGGACTCGGTGGCTCAGCCTGTAATACCAGCGCTTTGGGAGGCTGAGGTGAGTGGATTGCCTGAGCCCGCGGGTTCGAGACCCACCTGGGCAACTTGGTGAGACCTCATCTCTACAATAAGTCAAAAATTAGCTGGGCGTGGTAGCATGCGCCTGTAGTTCCAGGTACTTGGAAGGCTGAGGTGGAAGGATCGCCGGAGCCCAGCAGGTCAAGGCTGCAGTAGCTGGGAGCGGCCACTGCACTCCAGTCTGGGTGACAGAGTGAGACTCCAACTCAAAAAAAAAGTGTGCTGCCATGTAGCGTGTGTGTGTGTGTGTGTGTGTGTGTGTGTATTTGTTTATTTTGAGTCAGGGTCTTATTGTCATCCAGGCTGGAGTACAGTGACACAATCATGGCTCACCACAGCCTTGACATTCTGGACTCAGACAATCATTCAGCCTCAAACTCCTGAAGAGCTGGGACTACAGGCAGGTACCAATAAGCTCAGCTAATTTTTTTGAATTTTTGTGGAGGCAAAGTCTCACTATGTTGCCCAGGCTGAACTCGAACTCTTAACCCAGGCTCGAACTCGAACCCAGGCTCTAGCAGTCCTCCTTGCCTTGACCTCCCAAAGTGCTGAGATTATAGATGTGAGCCACCACGCCTAGCCCAGTGTATGGAAGACCTCAAAAAAGCTGGAATTATCTTTCGGATAGTGGGCACCTTGTAGGACAGACCACCAGGATCCCATCAGCATCAGTGTACCAACTAGCGTGAGAGGCTACATTTCAACTTCAGTGAATTTTTTGGGGGGATTCAACACATTTGCCCATTTCATTTTGTGATGGGTTATTTACAAGTGCACCTGTCCCCACTGCACTGTGAGCGTTCAGTTTTTAACCAAACCAGCATAACCTCTATGCCCCACCCTCCCTATTCACTCGATCTCATCCTGAGTGACTTTTGTTTTCTCCGCATGAAAAATGTCTTCAAAGGGAAATGTTTTGCTGGTGTGGAAGAGGTGAAACCAAAAAGCGACAGAAGCACTAAAAGGCATCAAAATGGACAAGTTCAGAACCTGTTTTGAACAATGGAAAAAGCATCTCGATAGGCATACTGCATCAAACTGAGTACTTCGAAGGTGGCTAAAGTTTAAACATATACAAATGCACAATTTTTGTAAGGTCTGGGGTTTTTTGGCTCCCTGTTTGTATTTCTAAATATGGAGCTAATAAATGAGTGCATGCTGTGGGCCATGAAAGGACCATTTTTCTGCCCTTGAGGCTCCAGCTACTAGTCTGTAAGTGTGCCAGAGCCCTGGTTAGTCTTCCCTGGAAGTGGTCTCACTAGAATGTGCGCCTCCTGAGGGCCACACCTCTCCACTTAGTATGGCCAGAAAATGCTCGTGGAAGGGGGCAAGTGACATAGTTCCCTATCTGGGTAAAGGATGATCAGGACCTAGGAAGTCTCATGCAGAGTCAAGCCAGAAAGCCTGGACGATTCTTAGAAGCTTGAAAGCAAGCAAGAGGAAGTAGACAAGTTTTCTAAAAAACAATCCAGGATCTGGGTCTCACTGTTTGAAGTTGATGATGCTAATGGCTTTTTCAATTAATTTGGGCCCAAATCTGAGGGTCACATCAGGAAAGTCTCTTCCAGACACCAGAAAGAGGAGATGGTAAAGGAAAAAAGTTAATTCCAAGTTGACGGGAAGGGGTGGGAGGTGACATGTCGTGACAGAATTCTCAACATGGGGTCTGGCAAGCAGTAGAAGGTCACAAGGCACGTTATCCAGAATAGAGACCAGGACCCCGAGATGTGCTCTCCCAGACAGTGCTGGGAAACCGCATGAAGAGGGACTGTAATAAAGGGCTCCAACTGTGCAATTAGAACGGGATAGACTAGGGAGAGGACACCTTGCTAAAGCCTAATCAAGGTGACCCCACAGAGGTTCATTGCAGATGAACCCTGAAGGAGGAAGGTCGCTTTAAGACACAGCCATCTAGAGCCCGAGGAGGTGCTGGAGTGCAGCATGAACCAAGAAAATGAAGAGCATCCATGGGAAGATGCACAGGGTCGCTGAGTCAGCCCTGGGACTGCAAGAGGAGCATTGACTCCTTTGGGACGGTAGCTCTTGGTTTCCTTGAACCACACGAAGGCAGGATGTGCTTTTGCCACGGTCGCCATAACGTGGGTGACACCAAACCAAAGTAACTCATTGGAAGTTGCCTCCAACCCATTTGTGTGAGGAGTGACTTATGCAAAAAACTGGAGAAAATTGTTCATGATTCCTCTAGAAAACAGTTGTCTTGGAATTTCATTATAGCTAGAAAGAAAGGGAGAATAAAGTGAGAAAATAACTCATAAAGCTTTCTGACCCTGTCCGCTCATCTAACCTTGTAAGGCAGAAGATAATCCAAAGCAGGGCGTGTTCATCACTTTGGGCACATTCAGCAGAAAATGTTTCATTTTTTCCTCTCCTGAATTTGCTCCTAGCATTTCTTTCTTTCCACGTGGCCTAAACAAAAATTAGAATCATCCCATGTGTAGAAGAACTTGCTTAGAAATCATGGTAAGGAAGCTGTGCTGGGCATGATAATTGGAGACAAAAACAAAAGTTGACTCAATCAGAAAACTAAAAAGGGTTTGTTCTTCCCTCTGACATTTTCCAGCAGAGACATCTCAGAACTGCCTGAATTTGAATATCTGAAATTACGGACTAGTGTTCTCTAGAAGTCTCAGGATAAACATGTGTTAAGGCAGCCCAGGCGGGACTCCTCCAGTGAGTGAGCTCACAAGCCCTAGGTCAACTTTCAGTAGTCCATAGAAAGTGCATTTTTGTCTCTGCTTGTTCATTTTTGCTTCATCCCCTGTGATGGCTCCTGCGTGTTCCATCTTGACAGTAGGACCTGACAAAGGTAATCCTGTCACACTCCCAAAATCATTGAATAAAATAATAGATGCCTTTATAGCAGCCTATTCTGCATGTCTCAGAGGACTTTTAAATCCTTCAAGTCCTTATTTCTTCTATGTCAAGGTTGGTTTTCAGATTTTTAGTGTAATCATATCAACAAGCTTTAATTGCATTGGGCAGGATTCCTGTGAAATTGGTAACAGGCATTAAAATTGATAAACATGCCTAGAGGGAGATGGAGTCATAGGAAGTTAGCAGATTAAAGAATGAAGAGGGGCAGGTTTCATGCCGGCTGAGTTGTAAGGCCGGCCAGTTGCAGGTGGTAGGTGAGAAAGACAACATCGGGGTTGGAACTGCACATTCCTTCTGGAGAGGCAGGTATTTGATCCGGAAGGCATTCAGGGCTCTCCTGGAAGGCCATGTGAATACTTGGGGGTCTTGTTCTGAAAGGCAGTGCTGCAGGACCTGCGTGTGTCAATGATCTACAATCTGTTGTCAAGAAGGCCAGTCAGTAGCCCTTGATACTGTTTGGCTCTTTAGAAGAGAAGATGGCCAGCCGGTGTGCCTTCCACCAACCTCATTGGTCCCTTTCCACACTCATGTGATGTGTGTAGAGGAAATAGGTGTTCAGAGTTTAAGTAGCTTGTCTGAAGTAACAGAGCTGGAAAGCTGGAAAGCTGAGCTCAAGACTCATCTTTCCACCCAGCAAAATTGGGAAGGCTGCTGGATAAAATTGGGGAGGGTGGGGTGTGAAAGCTTTCTGCCACCTGCCTCATTTGGGGTTTCGTGGGCCTCCTTGCAGGATATCCTGTTTCCACCCCAGGCCTTGGCTTCCACTGAGTTGTGTTTGTTCTGTCTCTCCCCTCTCTTCTTCTCCCCGCCCCTCTCTCTCTCTCAGCCAAATACGGATAGTTTTGTGGACACATGTTTTTGTTTTCCTTGGGTATTTTATGTTTAACTGTGTAAGAAATTACTAGACTGTTTTCCAAAGTTATTGCATTATTTGGCATTCACTAGCAACATGAGAGTTCTAGTGGCTCCTCACCCCTCATCAGCATTTGGTATTGTCAGTTTCAAACATTTAACCATTGTAATAGGCATGTACCAGATGCTTTCTGATTTGCAAAATACATCAAATATATCGTGGTGGGTTAATAAACCCAGGGCTGGCAAGTTCATTTATGATTTGAGCACATTCATTTTTCTTTTTTTTCTTTTTTGGAGTCTCACTCTGACCCAGGCTGGAGTGCAATGGCACGTTCACAGCCACTATAGCCTCGACCTACTGGGCTTGGGTGATCCTTCCACTTCAGCCTTCCAAGTAGCTGGAACCACATGTGCACACTACCACACCTGGCTTATTTTTTGATTTATTGTAGAGACGACTCACCAAGTTACCTAGGCTGGTCTTGAACTCCTGGGCTTAGGCAATCCTCTTGCCTCAACCTCCCAAAGTGCTGGGATTACAAGCTGAGCCACTGCGCCCTGCACATTTTTCTATGACAAGCATATTTTATAGATTAAGTGA